ACTTTGTGTTCATATTTTAGGATTAATGAGTTAATTAATTACTTTATTAAAATAAAAATCCCAAAAAAAAAATATCATTCATCTACATTTATAGCCTTTAATGCTAAATTAGTAATTTTCTCTTCTTTAATTTAGGATCAACTAATTTTCGTAAATATTATAACAAATAATTAGTTTAATTTTACAATTTAGATTAATTTAGGAATTTGATTTAGGATTTTAAAGAAAAGAAAAGAAAAACAAAGAAAAAGGAAATAAGAAAAGAAAAATGAAAAAAAGAAAAAGAGGGAATTACTTTGGCCTTGGCAGGCTGGGCCAATTTCGCCGAATTAAGTTCAAAATTGACCAAACCACCCAAACCCAATTCCTTTCCAAATACCCCGGTCCACGCCCCAACGCCCCAAAACGACCCCGTACTTAGACCCCCCCCCCCTTCCACTCCCAGCCGTTGATCATCATAAATCTAACGGCTGGGAACTAACCATTCATTTTATATAAAACCTGTCCCGAACGGACGACCCCCCTCCCTCCCCCCCCCCCCATACCACCCCTTCATTTTCGTCTCCCTCCTCTAAACAAACTAAACCCTAGCCGCCCTTATACTCCATCACCGGCTCCGCCTATCTCCGCCGCCTGGAAATCGTTTTATGGCGGCGGAGCCTCTCCAAACCACTAAAATCAACACCCTGCAATCACCCTTCCCTCCCCTTTCTAAATCCCCAAATCATTTCCCTCAAATCCTTACTAAATTGCTCGAATCTTAGATCTGCAATCCACACCCAAACCCTAAATTGACCAAATCTGCCAAAATCACACCCACACTCCTTACACCCCTTTGAACCCTAAACCACAACCAACTTCCCAGAAATCCCCGCCAAGTTCTTTGAATCTTAAATCTAGATCCACCGAACCCTAGTTTTTTCCCTCTTTTGATTTTGGTCAATTTTTGGCATGTTCGAATCCAAAACTCCCATTAGTCGGCTGTTCTTGTTGAGAAAAGTCGATTAATGGTAGTTCAAGTTCATTTCACACCGTTGAAGCTTGTCCGAGTCCCTAACTGGCCATGAATTTGAAGCAAGTGCTTGGTAAACCCTTTTCCATTCTTTTTCTTTTTTTGATTTCGTCTCTTTCATCTTCTGTCTCTTCTAGCCGCATGTTGTAGGTTTGCAACCTTAGGTTTTCTCTTCTTTTGTTTAGTGTTTAATTGATTCTATTTTAGTAGGTTAATTAGAATGTGTTGGAATTTCATTATTTGAAGTTTAACTTCAATTGCATGAATTTAGCTTAATTAGGGTTCATTTTTAAGTTTGATACCTAAAACGATTATTCTGTTTCTTCCATGTTTCCATTTCATGTTTATGTTCAGTTTTTGTTTTAGGTTAATTAACAAGTTGTTTAGTCTGTTTGTTTAACTGTTAGAACTGGTTGTTTAATTGTTTAAGTTTGCAAACCGAGTAGGTTAAATTCTAGGTTTTCTTTGCTGTTTCATTTTAATCTTGGTTTGATTACTGCTTAGGTGTATTAGTCGTTAAATCCAGTTTTTGCTTAGGGTTAATTAGATAAGCACTTCTATTTACTGATTGATTTAGTTTTTAGGTTTAAATTGCAGCATCATGATTCTGTTTGGCATTTTGATTTGGACTTTTGATCCCTTCTGGTCTTGTCTTTGTTTGCCTTGCTTTGTAACTCACTAGGAACTTGTAGGGGCTTAATTAAACTAAAAGAAAAACTTAGGGGGGATTTCAAAACTTAAAAAAATTAAATATCTAAAAAAGAAAGTTCTAGAAGGTACCAGTTGTCCAAAATTGGTTTTAAAAGATGCTGAAAATGGACAGCTGGACATTTTATCCTCTGTCAATATGTGATACTATCCAAGAATTAGGGTAGAATATTCTTTGATGCCATTTAGGATATACACTCTATAAAAAGAAAAGAAAACTGCACTCACACACACATTTTTCCATCAACATTTTCTGTATTTTGAAAGGTTCTGAAAACAAAAACTCCTTAAAAACTTTTTCCGGCTAGAATATTAGTTGCCTAATTAGAATTTCTGGACTGGTCTTCTGCTGAAGACTCTGGTTTTAAGAGTTCTGGTTGCCGGTTCTTGGTTTCTTCCTTCTGGTTTGATTCTGGGTGCTGTTTGTTTGGGGTTTCTGTTGATGCTCCATTTTGCTAAGTTTCAGGCAACTTTTCATCTGTTTGTTGCTGGTTTTTGTTGCTGTTTTGTTCAAGGTATTGACCTCAGCCTTCTCCATGTAATGCTTTGTTGAAATGATATAAGACTAGAACTGCAAACTATATGTGGAAAAAATGAATATCTTTTCATGCTAGTTGTAGTTTTACATTGATATGGATCTGATTGGTCTTTATTATGTGAGTTTAAAGCTTGGAGTAATTTGGTATGAATAGCCTAGTTAATATATGGATGCTTTGTAGTTTTCATCTTGAAAATAACCTTGTTTTGAAGATGTTTCTTTAGCCAAATATTCTGCATGTTAATGCTGATTCTGGATGTTGTTCATTAAAGTCATGTCTTCCCTTCTTCTTCTGTTAAATGAATAATATGTTGTTTACTTGATGTCATTTGAGTTTTGTTTGCTAATCATGAGCTATAACCTGTGGATTTGGCTACTAGTTGGCCAAATCAGCAGGTTCAAAAGCTAAGAGTTGAAATTCTACTGTTGGTAGCATGCTGGATTTGCGTGTTCATGTGTTGGACCAAGCTTTTGATGGATAAATCATGTCCAAAAAAGGCAAGTGTTCATTAGGTTATTAATTACATGGAAGTTGTAATAGATTAGTTGTTAATGTAGTATTAATAGGTCGTAATGTAATATTCTGATTTTGAAAGCATTTATTTTCATCTGGAGTACTGTAGTGAATTAGACCCTGATTTCATGTACTGAGATTCAAAACAACTGCTTTAGGAGTGTAATTATTTTGTTGTCTTATTTTCATAAGCACAGTGATGCAATGGCCAAGGCTATGAGCCAGATCTTTAAGGCTAAAAGGCCTGTTTCTGATTCAAGGTGGGCCAGACTTGCGAATGAGCCCAGATGGGAAAAACAAACCTCAAACGAGTCTGGGCCTAAGCCATTGGGCCTGGGCCTTAAACCCAATAGCTTGGCTCAGTTGTAAAGTTTTCTCTTATGAACTATAGTATAAATGCATATTTTTTTTATGTCTTGCAAATCATGTGTAGTGTAATTAATTTTCAAACTTGAATTGTATTTTGATTTTGAGATTCTGATTTTTTTTTACTTAAAAGTCAATTGATTTACAACTTTTGACAAATGTGTATACTATGACTTAAAACGTAAATGTAGATAGGCCCGGCCAGTAAATGTTTGCAACTGGACCCGCCTAATATAAGCCCATGGGCAAGACTTGGTTAAAATCGGACATGTCAAGGCCCTTGAGTTTTCTTTTCGTTTTTGGGCCGAGTTCTGAGCCCAATACAACTTCAATGCTGGTTTGGCCTTGACCAAGTAACCAACAAGCTATTGCTGGCCCAATCTAAAATTGATTAAGTTCCAACACATATCCCAAAGTTGTATATAATAGCTTTATATTGAATTTCAAGATAGTTTTAAATATGAACATCCTTAGTTTGCTCTAATTGAGTACGAATCTTTTAAAATAAATTGAGGCGTGCCATCCACAGTTGAAATCCATAACCCATGGCCCTCGCATTAATACGAATTAGTGTGAAAAATACTTTGAACATTCAAAGTTTGCTTTAGGCGCGTTTATAATAAGACCATCATAGCTACGGGTACGGTCCCCGTGACGTAGTTGTGATACCTAATTTCCAAATCTGGGGGTACATTTATGTGACCCGGCCACAACTTCTAATAATGTTAATAAATTAAACATGTTGTAGATCGTGGGTACGATTTCCGTGACACAATTCGCAATGTGTATCAAACAAACAAGTGTACGACAATCGTAAACTTGTTCCAGAATAATTTCATAATTAATTAAAAGCGGTTATAAAGTTACAAATGCACACTAAGTTTAAAACATGTAGTAAATCAGATAATTAGGCCAATATTAATAGTTAAACGACCGTGCTCGAACCACAGAACCCGGGAATGCCTAACACCTTCTCCCGGGTTAACAGAATTCCTTACTTAGAATTTCTGGTTTTGCAGACTTTTAAATAAAGTCAAAATTCTCCTCGATTTGGGATTTAAAATAAACCGGTGACTTGGGACACCAAATAAATATTCCAAGTGACGACTCTAAATAAACAAAAATAATCTCATTTCGAATAATGTCACTTCAATTGGAAAAACTCTCTTATATCCCCTCTCGGGTGGTAAAAAGGAGGTGTGACAAATGAAACTAAGCACTTTTATGACTTCAATGATGAGAACAATTTAGGTTTTCTTATATGAACAAGTAAATAAACAATAATTGGTGGCAACTTTGTATCTAAATAATATTAAATATTATTAATATTAGATATTTAAAGTCTCTTATTTTATTTTGGCACGACGATGATATGAGTTGGATTTTTTTTTAAAAAGGTGAAAATTCATATTTATTGGGACTGAAGCGTAATTATTTTTGTTATTATTGTTGCTAGATAATTGAAGTACATATTTTCTTATTAAAAATCTTAATTATTATATGTTTAAAGAATAAACGGTATATTTAAAAAAATAACTTCAAGGATTTTAGTGAATCTAAATCAATCAGCACAGTTAGAAAAAAAGACTATGATTACTTCCCTAAGTTAAGGATAAATTTTTAATTTTGGATTCAAACAGTTTTTATTTATTTATTTTCATTATACTTTTTTTTCTTAAAAAATGAAGACCACTTGTTCTTAAAGGGATTTTCTGAAAGAGTGAAAGCTCCCTCCCTTAGTACGTGACTTGAGCAGTGACATCACGCAAATTAAAAATTTATATATAAAAATTCATTAAAATTATATAAATAATAAATATAATTTCTTACCATAAAAAATATAATGAATTTAAGGCTAAAAACCTTACAAGTTAGACTGGATCAGCCCTGTCTGGCTCCCACTTTCTCCCCCCCTTTTAGTAATCTTCCTATTCCTCACTCCTCAGTGTCTATTCACAATTTCATCAGTTTTCTGGAGTCATGGCGGAAGTAAACGTCGATATTAATGCTAAGCAATCAAGCCAAGACAAAAACTTCCCACTCCAAGATCGAGTAGCCATTGTTACCGGCTCTTCTCGCGGCATCGGCAAAGCCATCGCCCTTCATTTAGCATCTCTGGGTGCTAAGCTCGTCATCAACTATTCCTCCAACTCCACAAAAGCCGACGACGTCGTATCCCAAATCAATTCCACCTCCAATTCCTCCCCACGTGCTATCGCCGTCAAAGCCAACATCTCTGACCCAGATCAAGTCAAATCCCTCTTCGACTCTGCAGAATCGGCCTTTCAATCGCCGGTCAACATCTTAGTCAACAGCGCCGGCGTGCTCGACGCTAAATACCCATCAATCCTAAACACAACCTTGGAGGACTTCGACAGGACCTTCGAAGTGAACGCACGTGGGGCTTTCATATGCTGCAAGGAAGGGGCGAGCAGAATCAAGCGTGGAGGAGGGGGGAGGATTATATGCTTAACGACATCGTTAGCGGCGGGATTCAGGCCTGGGTACGGGGCATACACGGCGTCGAAGGCGGCGGTGGAAGCGATAGTAAAGATACTGGCGAAGGAGCTGAAAGGGACTGGAATAACGGCGAATTGCGTGGCGCCGGGAGCCATAGCAACGGATATGTTTTACGATGGGAAAACAAAGGAGATGATAAAGAGGGCAATTGATGAATGTCCACATGGAAGACTTGGACAGACGGAGGATGTTGCGCCGGTTGTTGGGTTTTTGGCAGGTGATTCTTCTGAATGGGTTAATGGACAAATCATTCGTGTCAATGGAGGCTACATCTGATCCTTTCTTCTCTCTTTTTTCTCTCTTTTCAAGAGGAGTGAGTGATATCTGTCTGGTTTTAATTTGTTTCTTTTTGTTTGGTTTTGAATTAAAAGTAGCAGTTCTATAGTTCATTGCATCACCTCACCATGCAATATTAATCCCTTTCAACTAGCTCAAATTTCTATTGTAGTCCAAGTAAGAATGATTTGTTACCGTCATGACATAATATAAAAATTGGATCAACCTACTATGAACTTAAGGCTCGTTTGGTTCGAAGATAACTTAGCAAGAATTGTAATGTGGAGATACTAAATATAAGTACTACCAATACATGAATTGTAATATCGAGATTATTTCGTGTGGGATGTTTAGGTTGTTGTATTAAAAGGTGGATAATTTTTGAATTAATAAAATTGAGTTTACCATTACACCCAGTGACGAAGCTCAAGAAATTCAATAAGGATATTCAAATTTTGAACACCCTTTGCTCGTTCAAAGTAACAAGTAATATTTTATCTTATACACCCTTGAACATTTATAATTAAAGATTTTCTCTAGCTTCTTTCTTCTCTTCACTATCATCATTATTCATTCCTCACAACCAAGCAGAATTCCAGAACTTCTAGCTCTGAAATATGAATTATTTTAAATTTGTTGGGTCTTCGTGACCAAAAGAGAAAGAAAGAAAAAAGTTAAAAACAAAAGAAAGAAGGAGCTCAAAATGAAACTAAAAATTAGAGGATGTTTGGATTGGCTTAAAAGCTGGTTAAATCAGCTTAAAAGCACATTTTGCCTTGTTTAAGTGTTTGGCAAACCTAAAAACAGCTTTTAAGCTAAGTGCTTTTAAGCTGAATTAAGCCAAAAGCCACAAGTTGGGGATACCCAACTTATTGCTTTTTGGCTTAAAAACTTTTTATGTTTGACCAAGTAATTGACCTTATTATCCCTGATGTTTTATGTAAATTCCAGAATACCCTTACTCTACTAATTAAGTCATAACGTCATTTTTTTCACGTCTTCCATTTTGACATTGTAGTTATCTTTCTTCACATTATTATAACTTTTTCCTTCGTATTGACCTCATCTCATCTTTTCCAGTATTTTTGAACGCTACGTATGGTAGGATTAAAGTTTATTACAAGCTGCAATATAATAAGTTAGGTAGGTTTGTTTTTTC